CCGAGCGGTGCCACCACCCACCCACTCCAGGTCATCCCAGACGTGTCTAACAGGAAGGGAGGTCCCCTGTGTCACTAGGAACAGATGAGCCAGCCAGCACCCCGAAATCACACTGAGCGTTACCCTCCGATGTGACAAGACTGCAGGCCCCGGGCTCGGGCGGAGCCCCTGCACAGAAGGTGAGCAGCGTGCCCCCAGTAAGAGGAGGAGCAGAGGGGTGGACAGAGCAGGAGGGGAGGCTCAGCCCCAGTGGCCGCTGCCAGCAGGGGAGGACCCCGCCTAGGAAACCAGACTTGGGGTTTCCCCCCCATTGTGTTCCGCTGGGCTGGTCACCCTCCTACAGGAGCTGTGGTCACAGTGTGCGGTAACTGCTGACCAGCAGCAGACCCCCCAGGACCAGTCTCGTGTGAGGTTTTCACCCGCTGCACTTCAGCTCTAGAGGCCTTGCCCGGGACTGGGGTCAGCATCTCCCCAAATCTCCCCGGGTCTCCAGGGGAACGGGGGCTCTCCCCATGCAGGGCACGGTCAGTGGGGCTCAGGGAGGCGGCCCCCTGCCCCATGCTCCCAGGGGTCTCCGCTCATCACAGACCTGGGAAGCCCCACCAGCCTGGACCCCAGCAACTGTCTGCACCCCTCACCACAGACGCGGCAATCACGCTGCCACGCACAGCACCTTGTGGACGTGGACGCAGTGCTGTGACCTTCCTGCAACACGACTAGTGAGACTTCAGCTTTCTGCTTAGGAAAGGATGCGTGTGGAAATGTAGAATCTAAAGTCCGATGCTCCGGAAACTCTAGTTGCCAGGTGATTATGGACTGCATTCAAGTAACAAATATTATCGCTCAGTCCTTTAAAACCTAATTTTTTTTTGTTACAAAACTGATCATAAGAGTTCTAGAAAATACCCTGGTTTACAAAGATCGAAGTAAAACATTCAGCAATGATCAGGTGTAGGTGCTGGTGTAGGTTTTCCAGCCCTTCTCTCCTCTACAGACACTCGTGTCCTCAGAACCAGAGTCACACGGTACACACGAGTGTCTGGGCTTCTTTCCGTGACGAACTATGCACCATAAACACCAGGCCGGCCAGGGCGCTCCTTCTGCAACGTTGCTGTTAGAGTAGGAAATACTGTCGAACCACAGATGATTCAACAAATCCCCCATAAACTCATATTTAGGATATTTCATGTTGTTTCAGTACAAGAATATTAGAACACCTCTGATTATAATCCGTGTGTCAATTCCTATAAGCACAAGTAGTGGATGAAAGGGCACATGGCTGTTTTGAAGGCTCCTTGAAGGCTCCACACGTAATAAATATCCAACCCGACTCCAGCAGGCACTGTCTGCCGGCTAAGGTATCTCCTTGTCCCCCACAGAGAGCTCCTACCTGCTGGCTCAAGGACACCCCAGGGGCTCAGGATTCCTCCTGGACCCCCCACTGGAATCCACACAAAAGGACACAACTGTATCTCTTCAAAGTGAAGCCCCGCCCATCTGGCCACACCCATGACAACCTGAATGCCATTCAACACCTTCCCAGTCTGGGCACAGCCATGGTTCTGACCCAGGAAAATGTGGAGGTCATGTTCCAGGGTCGCTGGACTGGGTCCTGTGCCAGGCCCGGAGGGACCCGCATGAGCTGCCAGGTCGGGTATTCCTGCACACCTCTGAGCCAGCACAGGGGACGGGGGCATGAAGGAGGGGGCCTGAGCACAGAACAGCCATGCAGCGGGTATCTCCAGCGTGCGGGACACGACTGAGACACCTCAGCACTCCCAGGTGCCAGTCCCGAAAGAAGTTAACCTTTCAAATTACGTGCGTGTTTCTAAGTGGACTAAACCGCTATTCCCGACCTACCAGATTTTCACCCTGGTATACTGCCCAATAAAGCGGCACCCTGGGCTCCCCTAAGTCTGCGGTTTCCACCAGCTTCCCCGGCGGTGGAGGGATGGCCATCCTCATTCAAGTCTCTGAGGGGCCGGTCCTGAGGCCGGGCCCTGGGGAACACCAAGCCGCAAGTCCTCCAGAGAATCAGAAACAGACCCCACCGTCCTGACCCCCAGGGAAGGCTGTGTGGCGAGTCCGCACAGACTCGGGCCATCCATAAAACCATCAAAATCCGGCATTACTTAAACAAACACTGTACAAACCAGAGAGAAATTACATGTGGTTTCAGGACATTTAAAAACTGCACGTAAACGTGCTATCCTACAGCAGATTTAAGACGATGACACTCTCCCAGACTCAGGAAATGACTGGTGAACACGGACTCTGAAAGGTGGGACTCATCATTCCGGCCGCACGGCAAAGCCCGGAGGAGAGGGCTTCCTATCAGACGCCAGGGCCTGGGTGCCACTCCCATCCCCGCCACCAGCCGTGTGGCCCCGGGCAGGTCATAAAACCCACTCGGCAAAATCTCAGGTGTCTGAGCAGCTGTGCCCACGTCACCTGACGCTGGACAACAGAATGCCAAACGCGGGCTACGCGCTGGAGCAGAGAACGGGCCCTGCTGTGTCGGACAGATGAAGGATGTGCTACTTTACTGCTAACTTACACTCACAAACAGCATTCTATCTTCGTTATATGTTAAAAATCATTTAAATAATCAGAAGTAAACAATTTTCCAGGTTGGTGACTAATACATTTTCTGTAACCAAAACAAAACAAACAGAAAAAAACAAAACAGAGCCAAACTGCTTTTGTAAACTATTTTCAGGCACTGCCCCATTGAACATCACGATTTCTAAGTTTGAAGCTGCAGCTAGAATTAACTTTGCTACAAGCCGAAGAGAGATGTGCTTACTTAGGGCGACATGAACAAACGTTCCGCCCCATCTGAACTCACCTGACGAGCAGCGGAAGAGGCACTCAAATACCCAGCTGGCACCGAGTACTCAGAAGAGGCCATGAAGGAAACTTTCCACGTTGCAGATTTCCCACTTGTTCCTCTTCCTCGGAGCAACTGCCTTACTTCTCGGCTTTGTCCCGTGAGTTAAGACACTGTTCACGACGTCCCCATCCACGGGGCAGAGGAG